GATCTGTAAATCATTCGCCATCGTCCTCAGTCATCTCTCCTTACTCTGTTTATGTGGTAAGTGAAATCTTATGTACTGTAATGTAACAGGCTACTGCTAGCAAGCAGCTAACCATGTCCCTTTAGTGCTTCGCGTTATTTTATTAGAAAGCATTATTTGCTTTCCGTGCCTTTCTGAATACAGACACCAACCCATCCCTGCACTTCACATCCCCTGCACAGCCTGGAACATAACATTTATTTCCATGATCTGCCATTTTCGCTGTTGTCCTCGCTTGTTTCTTCACAATACCTGCAGAACTTCTGATGATTTGGCTGTGCAGGTTCGGCTGGCAGCTGGCCTAGAACATGGGCAGGTATATGCAAATGTTGGGGGCGGACATATTAGTGATCCCAACTGTAACGTCACAGTCGGTGTTATGTTCTGATTTGCCTATTTTTCAGTGGTCTTTTGCATGCACGAGATTTACATAAGGAGGAGGAAACAATGGTGTTTGAGGCTCACGGTATGTCATTTCCATGTACAGAACTGTTATTATTAAACTATGCCAAGGTAAATACAGTTTTCCATTCTATGGCACCTTTAACTAAATCAAAACGTGGTAACAAATTAGTATGATCACGATTTGCTAAATTGAGGAAATTAATTAGTACAACGTGGCCATGATTTGCTCAAATAAGTGAATAAATTAATAAGCAGTGGGAACAAATTTCTACTAAACTAAAACGAGAGACTAAATTCCTAATTCGTGGGAACAAATATATATTTAATGTGCAGGCTTTGTATTTTTAAGAAGGAGCCACTCAATAAATCTGAAGTACCCTGTTAACCTTTGATTTATCCACACAAGTGGATCCACAGAGAATCATTCTACAGGCCCTTTTAGAGTACCTCAAAGATTCGGCTTAAAGCTCAGGACTGCGGAAGATCAGATATAATATGTTCATACGTGTGCAATGGCGCATATCGCAAGAAAAAAGAACGGAGCCCCTTTTTAACCAACCGCCACCGAGCTCCAGCAAAACAATAACAGAATTAACGATAACATGACAGCTAATTTCAACGGGTCAATGATTACCAACAAAAGCCCTGTCGCCATCAAAACCCTCCACACTTTAAAAGCCTGCTCTCGACGCACCCTTTTCTCCCTGCTTTCTTGTTCTAACTGAGCCCTGAGGGTTTCCACACTCCAGTTGCATTTGCATGTCAAAGTTTCAGCTAAAACTTCAGCGGAAGGCAGTTAGCAGCTCTCGACTCTGGAAAAAAAAAGAGAACAGAGAGACTCCTTCTGCCCCGTGTATGTGCGCAGCTTCTACACAGCACATAAATGAAACCCGCTTCCCTGGGAGGTCAGGAAATTATCACGGATCAGATCGAGTTACTCGAGGACAGATGCAGACACATCTCCTAATTGACAATTGCTCAGCTGTTTTCCACTCCTTGGTGGCATGTTAAGAGCAAGATGGCAAAACGTGGCGCGGTGTTAAAAATAACTCCTTTTTTAAGTCTAGACCAACAACCGACTGCTGGTAGTGCAAAACTAATGTGCTCAGAGCAGGTACAAAGCGTGCTGTCTTCACGCCAGCCCTGGGGTTGATTGACTCTTTTGATTGGCCGTCCTTGAGGTGGGACGAAGGCTGGCAGTGCCTGTCTGGGTCCTGGTAAAACAGGTCTGTCTTTCATGCTCTAAAAAGTCTACCTTTGAAGGGCCACGCGGGGGCCAGTGGCTCTGCCTGGCACGCTCTCAAAAATCACAGGCAGCGGGAGGAAGCAGTACCACAAGCCAATTACCTGCCCCTGGGTGAACAGAGGGGGGAAAAAGAGCAAAATGAAAAGATAGGTGGGGAATCAGAGTGCTGTCAGAGTGGACTATCCTCATTAGTGCATACAGTGCTGCCCCGCTGATGATGCTGATGGGCACTGGGGCAGAGGTCAGAACCACATGACATAGCAATCTTGCCTTTATACTCACTGCACAGCAGCCTTGTAGATGAAAAGCTAGGAAAAGTGTCCACACCTCCAAAGTGGCAAAATCAATGGTGATAGAATTGAAGTTGGCCAGCAAAACTCCATATATCAGTACAGCACAGGGTCAAAAACAGGTGCTTTGGGCAAAAAAATGCCACTAAAATGAACTAAACTACTCCCCAGATTCAAGAACAGAGGGCAAAAAATGCCCCTGCACAATTAAAGTGGTTAAAAGGAAAGTGTCAGTTGCATTTACATAACATTTAGATCTGCTCATGTTGCATCAGATTTCTTTGTACACGTTTTAGCAGCGTTGAGTATTATAACCACTCCTTTTGCAGGGTAGACAGCTTCAGTTATTATGATGGCATTTTTTGCAATTCACACTAGAATGAAGTCATGGACTGTTTTAATCCAAGTTTGAATAACCATTCTGTTTTAAACAATAACCAATGTCAACCAATGTGTAAAAAGAAAAACTATTTCATGAAATGCTTCTTAGCTTGTTGTGTTTGCGTAGCAAGAATGTGATGTGCCACTCCATGTTTTATGTCTACTATTAATCAACATTAATAATAAATATTACAATATCAAAAGAAATAAACAATAATTTTTGTTGCAGCCCTACCTTGTAATGAGTTACTCTTTTTTTATTAATACACTTTATGTAGGCTATTTACATCATGCAACTGTTGGGTAAATACAAACCCGATTCCAAAAAAGTTGGGACACTGTACAAATTGTGAATAAAAACAGAATGCAATGATGTGGAAGTTTCAAATTTCAATATTTATGTATGCCATCTTTGAGCAGCATTAATCATAAATGCCATGTCAGATGCAGCTTCTGTTCCACCTTTGCTGTGTAAAGATGGCTTCTGTTGATGCTGATAAACTTTTATTGCTCTGTATTTTGTAGTACTTCTAATTGATTGAAATAATTTGTTAAATATTTGTCTACACAGGTACATTTAATAAAGTAATTTCCCTTACAAAGTTTAAAAAAAACCCTGGAAATCAATTCTAGGGGGGAAATATTGCCCCTTAATGAAAAAGTTGATTTCTAACCCTGGTACAGAGTGATCTTGTTGTGAGGTTCAGTCAGATCAGTCAGTAAGAAAACAGAGAACGCTCTGTCCTGGGAGTGCTGAAAAAGTAGCTGAAAATACCGTATTGGCCCGAATATAAGACGACCCCCCTTTTTCCAGATGTACCTTTTGGAAAAAGGCTTTTTAAAAACCAAATCGTGTTTTTTCTCAGTAAAACACATTTTGTCTTCAATTATTTTCATATTGCATATTTGTCCTATTTTAATTTTTGTTTTGAAAGTATGGTAAAAACTGTTAAAATGTACCAACAATCCGAGAAAGTTGCTCATTATAACGAGATACTAAGTCATTATTTCGAGAAAGTTTCTCATTATTACGAGAAACTAAGTCATTATTATGAGAAAATAAGTCATTATTACGAGATACTAAGTCATAATTTTGAGAAAGTTTCTCATTATTATGACTTACAGAATTATATTTTTTTTATTCAGTGGCGGAAACAGGCTTCCATACAATACAGTAGTTGATTACAGCATTGCAACTTCTCAAAATCTTCTGCAAGTTTCAAAACATCACTTTGCAGTCTTTTTATTGCAAAACTACCTCTGTGAAATACTGCACAAAAATTGTGAGGGCTGAAACAGGGGCTAGTGATGTCATGCATGCTGGTTAGTAGCAGGTGGTGATGGTGGCTCTTATGGAAAGGGTTTTTTGGGAGGGCTCTGGCTCTCTTTTCAGTAGCATTCTCTTCATTTTGTCTTTTTGTGCTCTGCTGAGATGTTTTCTTCTCATATTTTTGGATTACTGTCATTTAAAAAGTTGAAATGTTATGGTCTAAAACTTTGCCATTGCCAATGTTTTCTGCCGGCTGTGCACAGAATCAACCATCTACTTTCAAGTGTGTGATATATTGTTTCCCACAACTGTGATTCTTTGACAATACATTCATGTCAGATTAAAAGTTTGTAGATGCACCTTGCCATGCTGCTTTGGATGCAGTTGTCTTTGCAGTACAGGGTTGTGCCAAATTCAGAATTTAAAGGTGGGGTAAGCGATTTTTCAAAAACGCTTCAGAAAACTGATTCGGGATGAATAGCAAAACATACTTGTAGCCAATCAGCAGTAAGGGGCTTGTCTACTCATGATGTGGAGGAGAGCGCGTTCAGTCCAAGCCGAGCGACAGAAAGATAGAGATGGCGGATAAAAAACAAAAGAGGGAAAGGCCTGCGATCGGTAGCCGTGGTTGCTTTGTTTCTTCTCGATAGGTGAGAGTAACACTGTGTCTGCGCCACAACAGCTAAAGTCTGTCTAGTACACTGGACGCGACAAAGCGACCGTTGAAAGTCATTTGAAATTTGTGTCAGTATGTCATAAATAGAACGCAGCAGCAGTTTTCTGTGTAGACATGGTGTAACATTGGTTTTTGCTTTGTTTTACAGAACTAATCGTTGCCTGGGTTGCGTACGTATGTCGAGACCCTTTTGGGTTAGGGGCGTGTTTGTTTTTGTGATTTCAAATGTCAACATTGGCTACCAGAAATCGCTTACCCCACCTTTAAGAAATGGATTCACAAGTGTGAATCTGGATTAAAACTTTCACACAAGAAACTTCTATTGAATTTCAATCCTTTTTAACTCTACTGATTAATTTTCAACTGCGACTGTTTTCTCTTTTGTCACCTCAATTCAAATTCAACTAAAATTCAGGAATTCTCAATTGAATTCTTAAAGATGCAACGCCCTGTTGATGTAAGTAAATAAATAAATATATGATAAAGATAAATACACAATTTAAATAAATAAAAATTATTAAATGAATGATAATATAAAATAAAAAAATTAATAATTAAGGTGTGAATATTTGTTTAGTTAAATAGTTGATCTACTAATCTGCCTACTAATCCTGTATTTTCAGGCGAGTCGAGCAATACAAGGACAAGGAAAAAAGAGAACCTGCCATTATAGAGAAAATCTGCAGTACATACCTTGTTGCCGATGGCTTTTTTAGGTGGGAAATTGAACGTGTTGACTTGTGGGAATTGCGGCCGCAGGTAATTGTGCAGCACCCTGAACTCAGTGTAGCGCCGATACACATTCCACTCATGGTCCAGGATTCTAATGTACACCTGAAAAAAATAAAATGCATAAAATGTCACAGGTTACGGTGATGAGTATCTGATGTGTCATTTGGCTCTTATTAAGTCTCATTATTATTTCCATCTGTTATAAACCAGGTCTCCCGTGGTGCCATAGCCAGATAGAAACAAAGGACTGTATCTAGAAGTGCACTGCAGGGACGACAACAACACAAGGAAGAGGAGGGAGCTAGGAGGAGAGGGATGCTATTTTCACGCCTCACTTTCAGGACAGAGGAGCCTGGCTCGAATTACCCAAGCAAGACCCGCTTTGATCACAGCAAAGCGGCATGCTTAAGTCTCTTGAACAGACAGCAGCAAGTCCACTGGGGATGCAGAGCAGAGAGTGTGTACGTCTGGCTTTAGTAACAGGATCTCATGAGAGGTTAGACTCTGACAGCACGTTTGCACCTGCGAGGCCATGCTGACAGTGTCAAACTCAGGCTGTTCACAGACTACTGGTGTCACAGTGTCAGTGCAATCACTACCAGAAAAAAATCACGCATGCAAACCAGACACCAAAACAACTCAAATTGCCTTAAAAAAGTTCTGCATTCCCATTGCAAATTTCCACAATGTAACTCTTAAATTGTCTTGTTCATGCAACAGCTTGCAGACAGTAACCATAATAACAGTGACGTATACTGTCATTGGGGATGGTAATTTTTTGTTTTTAATATTGCAGTCAAATGATTAATCGCGATTAATCGCATACAAAATAAAAGTACAATAATATACGTGTGTGTTCTGTGTATATTTACTATGTATATATAAATACACACACATACAGTATATATTTTGAAATTATTTGCATGTACTTATGTCTATATTAATATTCATATAATTTATTTATATTTTATTTATTTATTTAGTCATTTAGCAGACGCTTTTATCCAAAGCGACTTACAAATGAGGACAACAGAAGCAATTCAAACAATTCAAAATATTAAAGAACAAAAGGTATAAGAGTATAATATAATTTATTATCATTTATAATTTATATTATAAATAAATATATTTAATATATAAACTTAAATATTTTCTGAAATATTTACATGCATGTGTGTGTATTTATATTAATGCTGTCAAACGATTAATCGCATCCAAAATAAAAGTTTTTGTTTACATAATATATGTATGTGTACTGCGTATATTTATAATGTATAAATAAATACACACACATACAGTATATATTTTGAAAATATTTACATATATATACACATCTATATTCTTATGTTTTATATTATATATAAATATATTTAATATATAAACAACATATTTTTCTTAAATGTATACATGCATGTGTTTGTATTTATATATACATAATAAATATACACAGTATACACACATATATTATGTAAACAAAAACTTTTATTTTGGATGCAATTAATCGCGATTAATCATTTGACAGTACTAGTTTTTAATATTGTCAGTCTATTATGCTCACCGAGGCTGCATTTATTTAATCATAAATACAGTAAAAAAAACAGTAATATCATGAAATATTACTGCAATTTAAATTAACTGTTTTCTATTTAAATATATTATAAAATATCATTTATTCCTGTGATATCAAAGCAGATTTTTCAGCATCCATTACTACAATCTTCAATGTCACATGATCATTCAGTAATTATTCTAATATGCTAATTTGGTACTCAAGAAAACAGTTGTGCTGCTTTGATTAATAGAAAGTTCAAAAGAACAACATTTATTTGAAATCATTTTAACATTATAAATGCCTTCACTGTTGCTTTTGATCAATTTAATGTTTCCTTGCTGAATAAAACTATGAATTTGTTTTAAAAAGAGTCTTTTAAATGGCAGTGTATATTAGGGCTGCCAGTTGATTAAAAGTTTTGATTTAATTAATTACATGATGTGTCAATTAATTGCAAATTAAATTTGGCTGTAAAATTACCCACAAAAGATCAGATTTTGCGTTAAATGAGAAATTATCAAGTAGACATTTCAAATAGTAGCTTTAGAAAGAAATATTTGATTTGATTCAACGTAATTTATTACACATAAACATTTAGACTACAACAGCCTAACATAAACTATGGAACATAAAAGAAGAGAGAACGTGAGAAACATCTCAGAATTTTTTGTTCATACAAGGAAAGTTATTGGTAACCAAATCAGCTTTGCTACCAACAGTCTTCAAAATAACTTATTTTATGTTGTGCAAAAGAAAGTCATACAGGTTTGAATTGACATGAGGGTGAGTAAATGATGACAGAATTAAAATTTTTGGGTGAACTATCCCTTTAATGTTTTATTATTATTATCATTATTATTAAAATAATACTCTAAATAAAAAACTAAAACAGTCAGCAGGTGACATCTTTCATTCATTCGATTGGTTCAAACGGCTGATTCATTCAGGAATTCAGTAAGCGGCTCACTTTATGAATGGGCCTTTGAATCATTAATTCACCCGATTTGTTCAAAACGTGGATTCATTCAGAAACTAAACACCGCTGTTGCTCGGAGACGCACAACAGTTCTGCTGTGTCTTATTAGATAATATTTTCATTGGCAAAATTGAGCAAAAAACAGACAATATTGTGTTTAAAATTTAACACAATATTAACTTCTTATTTACTGAACTGTTGTATAAAATCACATTTAAACTCATGATAATCGGGTCAAAAACAGCACTCGTATCATATTGCTTTCGCTGCTCGTGTGATATCGCTTATCATATGATATAAATATGAGACAAAAACTCATACAGGGACATTTTTTGCCCCAATATCTTGAACTTTAGGGCATAACTGCATTTATGGAATTGCTGCCCTGGATCATATTTGTCAACAGTTAACTGTATGAGATGTAAGATGACGTACAGATCTGGGGGCGGGGCCAGTGCGTTAAAATATTTTAATTGAGTTATTTTTTCATAACTAATTAAGTTAACGCGTTAAACTGACAGTCCTAATATATATATCAAAGAAAGTGACTTCTAAAACACCACATTGTCTTATCACAATTGACCATTCACAGGGAGTTTGATTGACAGGCGATCTGACCAATGATAGCGCAGAATCTGCCATTTTTGTCTGTCAAACAAACCAGACAAGAGAGTAGATTAACGTTAGGTGGACTTGAACTTGAAAAATGATTCAGTCATGTTTATTTCGTGTTTTAAGTAAATATGAGAAGATGATCGGTTCATGTGCCGCTTGAACTGAGGCACTACACCTGTCACGACGCACTACAGAGCCACAAAACGGCATTTGTTGTTTGAATTTCTTAAAAGATTACCACATTTTAAAGCTGAGACATTGTTTCACACCAAAAGTAACCTGCTCCGTCTTGTCTGTCTGGCATGTCGTCAGATTTCTCTTTGCTCCGCAATGTATTTTTCACTGCGCAAGAACATGAGAGTGTTACGAACACTCATTACGAACAGTAACGAAGGGGGCGGGTCTTTGCATGTCATGATGCTAATTAATAAACCTTTTCATATTAACAACAAATGAGATTTAATTTGTCACGCATTATGAATTTTGAATTGTTTGCATTTGGGTCATGCCAAGACCACACATAATCAAACATCTCTTGTGATCCATGATCCAGAACAATAACAAAAGGGTACCCACACTTTCCCATAGTGCACTGGGAGAACAGACATGTAAAAAGTGGAATGACTGTAAAAATCACATTAGAAGGACTTGGGTGGTGAAGATGAGAGTGAGCAGAATAACAAATAAGGCTTAGTCACAAGCAGCAGGCCATTACAGTTTCACTCATAGCCATTATCTTTAATAGCCCGTGCTCCATTTGAGTTCAGTCTGGTTTGGTGCATTCATGAATATAGGATGTTGATGCTTTATAAAGTTTAATTTAATTCTCTTTACAAATTAGCTCGGTAGCAACTGCTTTATGCAAATCTTATTTATGATTAAACCTTGAAATTCTCTAAACATATTAATCAGATGGATATTTCAAAGAAACTGCCACAATCATATTAAGACACACAGAATGATGAACATACACACACACACACACACACACACAAGAGAGAGGTTTTATGGCCTTAACTAAAGGAAATCAAAATGACAAACTGACGGTGTATTAAAGCTATCATAATCCCATAGAGGCGGTCTTATTAGCATACATATTTATGGTAACAAATCATCCTCTAAAGAGCAATCACTTCCCCCTCAATAATCGTAAATTAATACCATGAAAAGGTGTTTGAGGAAATCCAGCTCTCACTTAAAACTCTTTCTTGACAAAAATAAAACCTCAAAATGAATTAAAATGAAAGCTTATGGCAACATGCCAAGAAATTCTGGAATTAGCCCAGTCAAACAAAACAACATTCTCAAAAAAAGGAACAAGTGTTGACATTTTTTAAATCAAATTTCACCTGCAGTTCACTCTCACTAGTTATTAACCATTAAACATCACAGCCTAGATTTTAATGTGTTTTAAAGGGGTCCTGTTATGCTCAAAGCATTATATATAATATATATAATGCATTATATACAAAGTCTTGATTTTTTGGAGGGGGGGGGGGGGGGGGGGAGAAGGACAAGAGCGCATTACAGTTTTTTA